CTCCTAGATTAAATCAGGAAGAAATAGAAACCTTAAATAAACCAATAACAAACAGCAAGATTGAATTAGTGATTTTAAAACTGTCAACAAAAAAAAAGTCCAGGACTAGATATGTTCACTAAATTCTATCAGACATTCAAAGAAGAATTGATACCAATCTCACTGAAACTATTCCAAAAGACTGAGAAAAAAGTGATCTTCCCTAAATCATTCGATGAAGCTAGTATCACCCTGATACCAAAAGCTGGAAAGGACACAACTACAGACCAATTTCCCTGATGACCATTGATGCAAAAATCTTCAACCGAATACTAGCTAACTGAATCCAGGAGCATATCAAGAAGATAATTCATCATAAGCAAGTGGTTTTCATTCCGGGGATGCAGGAATAGTTTAACATACACAAGTCAATAAATGTAATAAATCACATAAACAGAATTAAAACCAAAAACCATATGATCATCTCAATAGATACAGAAAAAGCATTTAACAAAATCCATCATCGCTTTATGATAAAAACTCTCAACAAACTAGGCATGGAAGGCACCTATCTCAAAATAATAAAAGCCATCTATGAAAAATACACAGCCAACATCATGGGGAAAAGTTGAAAGCTTTCCCCCTGAACAGGAACAAGACACGTATGCCCACTTTCACCACTCCTATTCAACATAGTTCTGGAAGTACAGAGCAATTAAGCAAGAGAAAGAAAGAAAGGTCATCCAAATTGGAAAAGAGGAGGTCAAACTTGGCTGTTTGCAGATGATATGATTGTATACCTGGAAAATCCTAAAGACTCCTCCAAACACTCTTAGATTTGATAAACGAATTCAGACAAGTCTCAGGTCACAAAATCAATGTACACAAATCAATAGCACTGCTATACACCAAAACGACCAAGCTGAGAATCAAATCAAGAACTCAATCACTTTTATAACAGCTGCAAAAAATAGTTCAAAGAAATAATGGCCAAAATCACACATAAAATACACTAATGCTAATTAATGATAGCTGATGAGCTTAAAAAGAAAAAAAAAACGTTTTAAGAAAGTTTATGAATTTTTGTTCAACCAAATTCAAAGCTATCCTGGGCTGCATGCAGCCTATGGGCTGTGGATTGGAAAAGTTCAATAAAGAAAAACTAACATAAATCCTTCTTAAACTTTTCCAAAAAATAGAAAAGGAGGTACACTTCCTAACTTATTATGTAAAATATGCATTGCCCTCATATCAAAGCCAAAGACACTATGAAAAAGAAAACCACGGGATAATTCTTAAGAATATGGATACAAAAACTCTCAAAATTTTTAGCAAACCAAATTCAGCAGTATATTAAAAGGATTATAAACCATACACTAAGTAAAATTGAGATTTATTCCTGGAATGACGGAAGGTTCGACATACAAAAATAAATCGATGTAAGTACCACATTGACAGGAGGGTTGTCTGAAGGTTATCTGAAGCAGCTCCAGCAGCAGCCACAGTGGCTCAAACTCCCCCACCTTGGACAACTCGAGACGCCTGCCCATTTTCCGCAGACTTTCCATCTCAGATGACTACACTGGGGTAGGGAGGAACCCCTGCCTACTCTACTACCTACCTCGCACCCACATCCAATACCCTCATCTCCCTACCCATCCGATTCCCCATAACCCCTACATTAACAAAGTTAAGCTCAATTCCTTTTCCTCTAAAACCTTGGAATGCCCCATTCTCTCCCTCTCATTACTCCAACTAAAGTAAGGACAAGTCAATTTGTCAGTAGCTTCTTCTGGTCTGAAACCCTGCCCCAGATTTTATAGCCCACTTACCATGCATAACAAAGTCCTATATTTTGTTAGTGGATGTCTTTTATGCCTGGCTTAAGCCTTAAGTGCCAAATCACAAAAGGAAAAGCAATAACAGTTTGCAGAAGAAACTTAGTGCTTTGTAATCTAACTTCGTCACTGTGACTACATTACCCCTTCAGCACCAGAGGGCACCATGGGCCTCCTGGAGAGCCTCTACCCATGGGGGAAGTAGAGGCCTGAAACCAGCAGCTCTCTCCACTGGCGACACAACTGCACCTCCTTTATTTCAGTCTCCAGCACATGTATTACTCCCCTCTTCCCAGTGTCGCATCTTCACCCTACCCCCCAGCCTCTTGGGATAGTTGTTGCCACACTTGGGTTTTGGGAGAAACCTGTCTTGACATTTAAAAACTTTATTCCCAATCTGAACCCCTGTCAACTAATCTTGCCTGGGTTTGTGTAGGCCTGCAGGAAGAAAGGCTAAAATGAAAATTTTGGCTGAAGTGGGACTTATGGGGTTTACATTTTTCTTAAGTGGGCAGGAAGGGGAAGCTGGAGGGACTATGAGAGACTAAATTTTGATGATAAAGTTCCCTAGGTCATATGTGACATCTTTAAAAAACAAAAACAAAAAAGAAAAGGTAAAAAAAAAAAAAAAAGGAAGGGTGAGCAGTTAATGGTATTCATTTCACATAAAATATCTGTGTAAAATGATTTCCTGTAGAAGTAGCTTTAATAATATTTGCTCTAGAATACTGTAGGTCTATCCTTAGAGCACTCACGCCATGCTTTTTTCCTTGGATTTTAAACTTCATATAACTTTCAGAAATTGGAGAGTAAAACTTTTGCTTGTTATTGCATATCAATATAAAAGGCTTATTTAACCTAAAAAAATCCACCAACTTAAATATTACTCTGATTTCAAAATATTAATCTGATTTTAAAACCACTTTCACAGAAATATTTAGAATACAGCCTTACCAAATACTGTTTGACTTATAAAATAGGGAATGGGGTTGCTGTATAGCCATGGAACAGCCTAGGAAGCCTTGTTGGATGACCTAAAATAGCCATGGCCCTCCCAAGTTGACACATAAAATTAGCTATCATACTGTCCTAACCTCATCAACAAAATAATAATATTAGATGGTATAATACAATTTAAGACCCCTTTATTAACAAAACTGTATATTTTTATAGTTTCAGTTCTCATTCCTACAGCATTTTGTTATTAACAATGACAAAACATACTTTTCTCTCTGCTCTACTGAGATATCAAGGGTTATAGTAAAGTGAGTTCCCAGAAGTTGTCTGGTCTAGTTGAGCCACATTGAAAAGCACATATTTGATGTTTCTGCTGTAAGAGTTTTCTTGACTGTGAGGATGAAGCCTGCATATTTCTCTCCCTAGAAATAGGACTTACGCAATAGGGAATGGGGTGCTGTACAGCCATGGAATAGCCCAGGAAGCCTTGCTGGACAGAACTAAAATAGCCTGAAAATTCCCTAGCAAAGCAAAAGGCTGAAGAAGCATTAACATAAACCTCTATAACATTCCTGTGGCTTTGGCGTTTAATAGATTATTGCCTTTTCTATTAGACTGTTTTCTGTTAAGCCTTGGTTCTTTTTGACCTCTTTTTCCTTGTCATTTTTTCTCACTATCCCAACATTCTGCCTGGAATTTTCCATCTATCAGCTGTTTCTCTCTTGAGATGATTATGTAACTGTTTACTTTGGTGATTTATTCCTTCATTTACTCTCTAGACAAGATGATTTTCCTAATCTTCTTTACTTCCTAGGTCTCCTGAACCCATGCTTTGGATCCCTGTTGCCTTTTAAAGTAATTTTTGTCAATCATTTTGCATTTTTCTATCTTCTTAGCTATTTTTCTTGTGGGAATTTACACTAAGTAAAAATCTCATTTGTCCTCAGGAGAGTGACTTTCCTTTCCAGTTTAAGTTTACTAACCTGAAAATGAGCAAGTTAGAATTTATGACCATTAAGTTCTCTTCTAGCTGTGAAGCTACTTGATTGTGTTACTTAAATGATCTTGAGTTTTAGCAGGCATTGCATGCACTCAAAAAACATAAAATTTAGTAAATTATTTCCTCTGTCACTTGTTCATGGTTGGGTATGTGTCCTGTTTTTAATGTTACACTCCTCACTCCTCTGCCCAAGTATATTTCCAATATTGAAACACCCATTTGGTTGCATATGGGCTTTGAATCTCATGGTAAAAGTTGAACGCCATCTTGGAGAAATAAAATATATCTCCATTTCAAATCTCCATTAGTACCTTTCTTCTACTTGTCTTATAAGATAAGCAATCAGAGCCTAAAATTAATGTAACTTTGGGGAGGTACTTTTCAAAGCAGGAAAATCAGGTAATGAAAGCCCATGATTTGGGTTTAACCCATCAAGTCCAGAGCAAGGTGAAAAGTCTGTACAGTCAGATCACCAGGACTCCTTGTGCGAGGAGCAGGAGTGTGAAAATAGAGAAAAGAAACTGTACTCCTAATTCTCTTGAAGGTCAGTTATGAGTGGTCTAACAAGGTGGAAATAGTGAAAGGACATGACTGAAATATTTGGTTATATCTCTTTATTACAGTCTTTCAGTCTGTAATTTCTCTAAAGGAAGAGTACTTATTCTGTTAATGGTGTTGGTTTAAATAGATATAGTTGATTTGAAACTTCCAGTGAGATAAGGTGTGATTTGCCCAGGGTTGGTAGATGGAAAATAATTTATGAAGATTCATAAGTCACTTACTATGTGCATAACATCATGTAGGACATTCTCAAATTCACTGAAATTTGTTAGTGGGGAGGGAGAAGAATAGGGCAGAGAGGAAGCACACCATTCAAATAACAGTTACGTGCCAAAATATGTAAAATTGTTTACAATGTGGAAGATAGAAACAGGGGCCAGTATAACTGAAGCAGATTAAAAGCCAGCATGGGGGAATTAAGACTTGAAATGGGGCTTTAGGAAGGAGCAGGATTTGGAGTTGATAAAGAGAAAATAAGAGAACCATTCTGTTTTTTTGGTTCTGCAGAAATCCTGATTTAGGATCCTTTAATGTGAAGTTAGGTCCACTGGCAGGTTTGAGGAAATAGAATTTTAATATTAGTTTGTAAAAAAAAAAATTGTAGTAATTGAAAGCTCTTTATATGAGTAATTAATGCAAAAAAGTACATTTGTCTCTTCCTCCAGGTGTGTCTGCACAGCTCACCAGTACCCGGCATCGTCGGAACACATCCGTAGGAACACCATTTTGGATGGCTCCTGAGGTCAGATAGAGTTTTGAGGGAGACGAACATAATAGCTGATCCTGTCTGACTTTCCTTTATGTATACTCTATCTCCGTAAGCGTTTTGGAATATAACAGAGGAAACTGTCAGTTGTGTTATTTTTATGTGAGATTTTTGCTATGTGAGGAGGTACCTGGGAGGTGGTCAATAAATGGGCTGCGAATGAACACATGAATCAACGAAAGATAGAATGAGTGAATCAGACGAGGTAAAGAGAAACTACTTCCAGCTTTGATTCTTCATTAAATTTAGCTGTTTAGCGTGCATCTGTACTAATGATATTTACATTCTCTTTTAAAATTGTAATGGAAATATAACATTATGAGAACCCCTAGCCTTTGTGAGATCAGATTCAGGTCCAGTAACCTATATGGCAGGTTCCTGTGTTGAGTCACTCTGCCTGTGGACTATGTTCAGCTTTAGTAAATTCTTTTCAGCATTACCTTTGGGAAGTTGCAGATAAACTGCTAAAATAGTTGAGAGGAAAAGTTTTCAAGAATCATCTCCCCCATCACTATTAATGCTTTTAATCGTTTTAATTATGTTTATCACTTATAATAGACCCTTATTTTTGAAAACTTTCTCTACAACTGTTGGGGAAAGCACTGCTATTTATCTCCAATTTTCTAGGGAGTTAAGGGAACAGAAGTAATTCATATACTATATTAATATTTTCAAATCTTATAATTAAATTTGAGGATTAAATGCTGGTATGCTGTTTTTATTTGAATACTCATTTAATTATTACTTGCAAAACAAGTTAAAATGTAAACTTAGTACAAAATATGGGCAGAAGATGAACTATTTTTAGGAACTTAAAAAATCCACAGTGGGTTAAAAAAGTTTTTTAACACAGAGCACATCTTAGAATAAAAATAGAAAGTATAGTCACATAAGCAAAAACAAAAATTGAAAAAGAGAATCTCAAAGGAGAGTTTCTTTAGAATTTGTTCTAATATATCAGATTACTAGTGTTTTTAAAGCTTACAAAAAAATTTACAAAAATGAGAAGTTAATAAAAACTTAGTTATAATAGCAAATATTGCATTTTGTTTTCATATATTAATAATGTGATTAAATAATATCCTGGCTTTATGGTTTTTATATGTTTATTTATTACAACAAAGCCATTATTCAATATTTAAATTTCCATTTAGTAAAAACACTCATTAATATGTAATTACTAGACAGTCATTTTTCTAATGTCAGTTTTATTATTAATAAAGCTATAGTAGCCCAAGTAAGGCTAGAAAGTTCTTTCTGGCTTAGCAAGCTAATGGATATTATAAAAAAGAAAAAAGGTTCACTACAGTTTTTTTCAAGCTGTCATGGAAATACATGTTTGAAATTGTGTTCATAATATGTTCATCTCTCTGTAATAAGTATTGAAGAACGTATTTAAAATAATGAGCTTTCTAATTAATCAAGATATTCCACAGATACCTCTCTATGGTATTAACAGCAAATTTTTAAGAATTAGAAAACAATAAGGTGAACAAATATAAATATATTCACCGTGATGGCACAGAAGTATTTCAGTGTTTTTAGAGCTCAGGAGGCAAGCTTATTCAAATCAATTATCCCTTGAAAAGTGAAATTCTTTATTTGGCATTTTAAAATTAAACTCTGTATCAGAAGTAGCATTCTCTGGTTACGTAAAGACATCCTCTGCCAGGATGAAGGGAACAAGGGAATTAGTGACTGTAGTAGGTGACCGTACAACTTATCATACAAACCAGGACACCTTGGAGAGTGAAAAGGGCTGATATTTATCATGATTCTAGGACGACAAGCATGAAACAAGAATTTCCCAGGCAAACTGGTATATAAATTCACCTGAGCCTATGGGGAGATATGTTCTGACTACACATGTAAAGTCATGAAATAATGTATTATCCTGAAAAATAATTTTCCTTAGGAAAAAAATGACATTATTTTTATGCTCTATCAAACAAAGGTATATTAGACAACAGAATGAGAAATTCATATGAATGCATTTTTGAATTTTAACAGCTTTTTAGACATTTTAAATAAATGGAATAATACAATATGTGGCCCTGTGTCTGGCTTCTTTTACCTAGTGTAATGTTTTCAAGGTTCATCCATGTTGAAGCGTGTATTAATGCATCGCTCATTTTTAGGGCTGAATAATATTCCATTGTATGTATAGACCACATTATGTTTATCCATTTGTCAGTTGATGAACATTTGGATGTTTATAACTTTTGGTTACTATGTGTGAACTTTTAATGTAAAACTTAGGGCTTTACTCTTTCCTTCAGTACTTCAGGCTATGCTCTCTGATTTTAGCAGCTTACTCTCACGTGGTATTAAAAATACTTTCATAGAAAAGGTTAAGAAGCACTGTATATGATAATGTCCCATCATCCTAAGTTGAGAAAATATTCTTTCTTTGTATATAAACATATATATGTATGTATACATGTATACATACATATATATGTTTGTATAGGTATAATTTATTTGTGTATGTATTTATTATTGTGTATGTATTTGTGTATGTATTTATTATTATCCTTCAGGTACTTAGAAATGAATTGGTTCATGGTCTTCTTATTTGCCCATAAAGTCGCCACCCAAGCCAAAACCAGAATATTACCAACAGCATGCACTGGACTCTGTCACTTCCTCTATTCCAACTCATTACCTCCTCTCAAGAGTGTTGTCCTATGTTTTGTTTGTCATTGCCTTCTTTTTATTTTTTAATCACACTGATATGCTTATAATGAAACTGTTTCCTGTCATTGCCATTAGTGTCAGATATGAATAAAGATTTATGAAGGAATCACCTTTTCTGGATGACATGTGTGTAAATGTTACCAACTAAATTCTAGTGTGCCCACACACAAATTTTTTTTAAATGTGTTAAGCCTGATGTTAAGTGAAGTCAGAAGGTGAAATATCATTCCAAAAAGGGCCTTAGATTTTTCACTTTATATATCATTTTACAGTACTGTATTTAAATGACACAATTCTAATCTGCCATCATCCCAAAATTATTTTTTATTTTTCTTGTGGGTTGGCATGCACAAAACATAAAATTTTAAAAATGTAAAAAATGGTTCTTAATATGTAAAGTTGAATTTTCTTTTTGTGATTATTGATGTTAATAATTACCATTCACAATCAATCTGTATTTGTACTTACACATTTAGAACTAAATTGGGAAGTAATCAATGAAATACTTTCTCTATATTATACAATCTTACAATATTATAAAAATAAATTCCCCTTTTTTCCTTTTTTCTCAATTATATCTTTTGATTTCTGACATGTTTTTAAACCTGGTTGCAGTTTTAAAAACAAATTTAGGGTGGCCTCAGATAAGCTGTTGGTAAAACCACATTAGGGTTTATTTTTATTCAGTTTTCTTTTATTAGTGGCTTAAAACTTTTTGCATTCCTCCAAACTTGTCTTATTCCTCCCATGGGTCTTCTGGTTGCCAGTAGAGATCAAGGCCATCTAACTAGACAGCCCTCAAGAATATTTACCTTTATTTCCTCCACTTTTAATTCTTTGAAAACAGTCTTTATCTTTTCCCATTCCCTCAATAGATATTTATTGAGTGACTACCATTGCCCAATCTTAAGCTGTGCGTTTGATCCCATGCAGTTCCATTTGGAACACCATATTGTTCCTCTTTTTTTTTTCTATATTTTCAAAAATATTTCTTTTTATAGGCTTCTTTTTTCACATTTGTAAGCCTTCTAACATATTATCTGTTCACAGAACAAAAATACTACTACCAATAATAATTTGATCTTTTATTCTCATTCTAAGTTACTGCCTTCGTTTTTACTTGTAGCTGTCAAACTTCACCAGTTTAAATACTTAATGCTTTGTTCTAAATATTTTACTACATACTTTTTAAGGTTACAAACTTCACCTTTTGGTGGTGTGGTTTCCTACTAGGTGATTGCGTGTGAACAGCAATTGGATACCACTTATGATGCCAGATGTGACACTTGGTCCCTGGGTATTACAGCCATTGAGCTGGGTGATGGAGATCCCCCACTAGCTGACCTGCATCCAATGAGAGCACTCTTCAAAATACCAAGGTCAGATGACTAACATTGGGTCCAGTATCTACAGCTGGTTTTTCTTCCTCCATCTACTGAGTGTTCATCATGTTCTTCATGGAGACATTCGGATATATCCCACAAAGTTGGGAGCAGAAGAGTCTGGAATATTATTCTGCTCCTTCTGAGACATTGTATTTGTTCAGTAGTTGCATTTCCCTGGTCTAAGTATAAGAGCTTTCTCTTGATAATCACTGTGTCTTTCTCTCTTTTGCTAGGATTTGATATCAGAAAATAGCAGTTCCTCCCACTCTTTATCCATTCCCCAATGACTCAATGAGGCATCATAGTCCATAACCTGTGCAAGATTTTTGCTTGGCTTTACCTACCAATCTAGCAATTTTTTACTACTTGCGAAAACTTCCCTTCATTCAGAACTTTAAAATAATATTATTAAGAAAATTATATTTAAAATTTCTTGAGAAAATGATTTTAAACATGTTAATATTTTGAGTATATTAATATAAAGCAATAAATTTAGAAGAATAACCTCTTTTGGTGCCATGAAAGCACTTGACTATATAGCCCCACCTCTTTGTGCGTGTATCAGCAGATGTTCCTCTGCTATTCTATTACTAATTTCTTTAAACACTATTTTCTATGACTGGTCCTAGATATTTCAGATAACTAATGTGAAAAAATAACACATTTATTAAAGGTGTTGTTTTTAAATACCTTTTTAAGGATTTTGCCTTAATTATAATGGAATGCACACCCAGACCTTGTGGTGACAGGGATCTAGGACATTAGAATATTTGGCATCTATCTAAATTATTATGAGACCAAAGCATTTGAATTCATTTTTAATTTTACCTTTGAATTTCTTGACCTATCTATGTATTGCAAATTATAATACTTTGGCTATATATCATCCTTTACATACTGCTAATTTTGTAAGTGGGGAAACATTATAGAAAAGAATGGAAAACCTTCTCTATACTAAATCCAAGACATTTCATTAAATATGAAGAAAGCACGAAAAAAATCTGTATTTTCTCCTATTGTCATTCAGTATGTAAAGTGAAGTTCTGTACTGTCTTAGCTGTTTTAATTGTGGATTAAACCATCATATTTAGTCTGATGTTATTACTCTTGGTGATAATGCCACATGAAAGAAGGATGACACTGTTGATAAATATTGTACCTAGGTAACAGGCAATGTGCAAAGCAATTCTAGAAATTACATCATCTTAGTTATTTCTTTATTATTTCTACCACCAGTGGAATTCCAAGAATACTGACTATGGTAATATATAGAAAAAGGGGATCTGAAAAGCTACCCAGTTCTGAGTGTTCTGAAATAATCCAAATTTTGTTATTCAAAGCAAGCCAATAAATCTCATAAAAGGAAATTTTCAGGAGGACAAGAAACAAAACAACATTTCTGGAGAAAAGAATTACTTCTTTTAATGTGCAAATTAGCAATCTTAAAATTGTCCTAAGGATTGTGAAATGAGCTTAGTCGTGATCTGGGGTAGATGAGTAGCTGCACTTTGCTTTAATGAGCCTGTACAAACTGTACATTAATTTCATTATAAGCTATTTAAGGAGTAATGCAGAACCGAAGACAAAGTATTTCCATTTCACTAATGAAAACAAAGAGCTGTTAGAATTAACATAAAGCAGCACTTCAGCAAATTCAACTATCATGCTTGATCAATGTTGCTTGATTACAGAGTTAGATCAGCCTCATTTTCAACTGATGTTCCTTTGTATTCAACAAATGTGCCAAAAAAATATATTTGTTCAGCTTAAACTGAAAGGAATTAATAAAATTGTTAAAGTTGTATTCAGAGCTTTATCGCTAACAATATTTTTCAATTCCTTACCTTTGTAACACTTTGTAATGTGTTTCCTGCCATGTGTCCAGTAACAACAGAACAACAACTCATAAGGGCATTCTACTGTGCCACCCCCGGGCACACTTTCCTCCATATTCCAAACAGCCCACTTCTGTGTTCCCTGGATGTTCCTCAGAGACTTCAGTGGAACTCACAGGAAAAAAAACCTTTTCCCCAGGATCAGTTGTTTCTGTTCTTTTAAGTACTGATGTTTCCTAGAGCTAGGTAAAAACAAGAAGATTATTTAAAAGAGAGAAAGAGAAAAAAAAATATTAGTTGGGCATGGTAGTGCACACCTACCTGTAGTCCTAGCTACATGGGAGGATGAGGTGAGAGGATAAAAAAAAAGAAAGAAAGAAAAAGAAAAAAATTAACAGTTTGGAAAATTTAGGTCATATTTAAGTGCTTTCAGAGAGACAAAAATTGTGTCTTTTTGTATAAAGAAAGATGATTAACTATCTGTATTAGAATTGGAAAAAGATGGAATCCTTGATTACAATTGGCAGAACCTGTCATTGTAGTAATACATTAGTCTATCTGGCTCTGCCTCTCATTTTACACTGACTGACCAATATGCAGAATTTGACATTGATTCTTATTTTTCTAGGAATCCACCCCCAAAACTAAGGCAGCCTGAGCTATGGTCAGCAGAATTCAATGACTTCATAAGCAAGTGAGTAACAATGGTCTTTTAAAAAACCAAAAAGATTCCCTCCTGCTATAACTAAATCTCCTCCTATTTCTTCTTATCTGTTAAACAGCCCCAGATATTTCCATTATTTTCTTCAAAAGGAACATCTATAGTGTCTTTTAAATGTTGGGTGACTTTATCATTGCTCAGATAGTGGCTTTAGGGTCATGTTTATTCACTTTTCAATAGCTAAGCTTCTGTGGACCCTTTATCATCAATAGATATGTTCTTCTGTTCACCTGTGCTTTGCAATTACATCCTCAGCATCTCTCACCTGCTCAACCAGGACCTATTTAGTGAGTTGTTCAACCATTCATTTATTTGCATCACTAATTCTCATTGCAATCAAAGAATTTTCATTGCAATCAGTGAATCAGATACTTGTATCTATAAAATCCTTATATATTCGAAATTCAGTGAACAGTTTAAATTTGACAAATATTTAGCACAAGTGCAGTACCTATGGACAATTGACTAGAAACTAGGAGTCAACCATTTCTAAAAATCTGTCCCACAAACCTTTTATTGCAATTTTTATTTTGTCTTCACCTTAAATAAATAAGGTAAGGGATGACCCTTGGTTGGAAATGAGAGAGAGGGGTTGTTAAGCTTTGGTGTGCCAAACTGTACTCAGAAAATGTAGGAAGGGCAAAGAAAGTAGAGGAACAGCCACATTCATACATAGTACTATAACTGTTTTCTTATCAAGAATATCTGGGGGTGGGCCAAGATGGCAGACTAGAAGCCGCTCATGTGCATCACTGTCATAGAGAAACAAAAGGTTGCTGAATACTGAACTTGCAGCCAGTCATCTGAGAAACCACATCAGGATGTCAATGCAGCAGGGAGACAAAGAGAGCAGTGAGGAGCAAAGCTGGGCACCAGCCTCTCTGGGCTTAGCTCAGAGCCAGGAGAACCTCTTCAACACAATAAAAAGGGTGAGTAAGTGAGAGCCCCCAGGGGGATTCATGCTTTCCACAGTGATCTGTGCAAGACGGGGAATGTGAAAATCTTCCTGGCTCCCATAAGTCCTCCCACCATGCTTCTAGACTGATGTGGAGAGCTACCCAGACATTTTATGGGGGCAACTCTTGAGTCCAAGGGCCTCTACAAGCTTTAGGCCCCAGAGCAAACCAGCAGCAGCAACGTAATCTCAGTAGAGGCCACAGATGCAGTGCCCAGGAGAGATTGCTTCACACTCCCTTGCTGGATAGGGCTCAGCACCAGCTACTAGCCCAGTGATCCTACTTTGGTATGAACTCAAAGGGCACAGCTTCCTGTTATCTAAGGAAATACCCAGATGGCAGAGCATGTAACCCCATCCCCCTCCACCACTGGTGGCCAGACAGGCAATGCCTGCTACAGCTTCCAGTCCAGCAGTCCTACTTCTATATAGACTCAGCTAAAGAGGGGAAATTTTCTGTTGTGCTGGGAAGCATCTGGATGACAGCACCGGTGACCCAACCCACCCACCATGGATAGCCAGGCAGGCAGTGTCTGCTAGAGCTTCTGGCCCAGCTGTCTTGCTTCTATGGAAACTCAGCCAGTGGGCAGTCTCCTGTTTTCCCAGAAAGCACCCAGGTGACAGGGAAGGTGTCCCCACCCATTTCTGCCACTGGTAGCCAGGTGAGCTTCCAGCCTAGAAGTCCTATCTTTGTCTAAATTTCCCAAGAGGCACAGTCTCCTGTTGCCCTGGAAATACCTGTACAGCAGGGTGGGCAACTCCATCCACCCCCATTTCTCACACCCGGATGGGCCACACCTCCTAGAGCTTCCAGTCCAGGGGTCCCATATCTGCCTGAACTTTGTGGGCAGGCACAACACCATGTTTACCCGGGAAGCACATGGACAGCAGGCTAGGCCAACCCAGCAAAGATACAGCTTGTCTGCCAATTGTAGCCTCTGCCTGAGGGAGCCTCATGGACCAGAATACCCACAAAATAAACACAGCCAGGGAGACAGTAATTGGAGAGGGCTCCTCCAAGACCCAGGAGTGGACTAGAACTGAAGGCAGTCTACCAATCCCACCTTCTACCATAATCAAACCCCCAAGTGCATCAAGGAAGATAAAATCAACAAAGCAAAAACAAACAAAAAACAAAACAAAACAACTCAACCAAAGAACAGCAACGCAAAAAGCCAGCATACCTTTTTATTTCCAAATGATCGCACTGGCTTCCCAGCAATGGTTCTTAACCAGGATGAAATGGCTGAAGTGTCAGAAATAGAATATGGATAGGAGCAAAGATCATTGACATACAGGAGAAAGTCTAAGTCCAATCCAAGGAATCTAAGGATTACAATAAAACAATACAGGAGCTGATAGATAAAATGGCCATTATAAAAAAGAACCAAACTGATCTGACAAGAGCTAAAAAACATACTACCAGAATTTCATAATGTACTCACAAGTGTTAACAGCAGAATCAACCAAGCTGAGGAAACTCAGAGCTTGAAGACAGGCTCTCTGAAGTAACTCAGTCAGATAAAAATAAAGAAAAAGCAGTAAGGAAGACTGAACAAAATCTGTGAGAAAATTGGTATTATGTAGAGACCAAATCTACAACTCATTGGTGTCCCTGAAAGAGAGAAAGAGAAACCAAGCAACTTGGAAAACATATTTCAGGATATTGTTCATAAAAATTTCCCCCAACCTCATTAGAGAGACCAACATTCAAATTCAGGAAATGCAGAGAAAAAAAAATACCCCTGCAAAATACTATGCAACAAGTATTTCCCAAGTCACATAGTCATCAGATTCTCCAAGGTATAAATGAAAGAAAAAATGTTAAAGGCAGATAAAGAGAAGAGGCAGATCACCTACAAGGGAACCCCATCAGGCTAACAGATTACCTTCCCTCAGAAACTCTATAAGCTAGAAGAGATTGAGGGCCTATATTCAGCATTCTTAAACAAAATAATTTCAACCAAGAATTTGATATGCAGCCAAACTAAGCTCCATAAGCAAAGGAGAAATATGATCCTTTTCAGACAAGCAAATGCTAAGGGAGGTCATTACAACCAGGCCTGCCTTATAATAGGTCCCAAAGGGAGTGCTAAATATGGAAAGGAAAGACAATTACTGGCCACTACAAAAACACACTTAGGTACATAGACCAGTGACACTGAAAGCAGCCACACAAACCAGTCTGCATAATAATCAGCTAACAACATGATGACAGGATCAAATTCAGACATGCAACACTAACATTAAATGTAAACAGGCTAAATGCCCCAATTAAAAGACACAAAGGATCAAGTTGGATAAAGAAGCAAAACCTAATGGTATACTAAGAGACCCATCTCATATGAAATGACACTCATAGACTCAAAGTAAACAGCTGGAGAAAACTATCTCCAGCCAACAGAAAATAGAAAAAAGTAGGGTTGATATTCTAATTTCAGACAAAACAGACGTTAAACCAACAAAGGTAAAAAAAGATGAAGAAGGGCATTACATAATGGGCTCAATTCAACAAGAAAAGCTAACTATCCTAAATATACATATGCACCCCACACAGGAACACCCAGATTCATAAAGCAAGTTCTTAGAAACTTTCAAAGGGGCTTAGATAACCACATAATAATAATGGGAAACTTTAACACCTCACTGACAATATTAGAGTATGTGCCATGTGCAGATGAGTAGAAAGGATATTCTGTTGTTTTAGGGTGGAGAATTCTGTAGATGTCTATAGGATCTATTTGGTCAAGTGTTAAGGTCATGAATATCTTTGTTAGCTTTCTGCCTTGATTCCACCAACCAGTTCTAGGTCTTTTACCCCTTGCGACCACTGAAAACTTGTTGAATCCTTTTAAATATTTGAAGTCAGCTGTCACAGCTGATTAAACATTCTACGTTTGATCAAATACTCCTCCTGTGCTATTGTTTCAGGTGCTCTCACCAGCCCTATCCTTTCTCCTGAATATGCTCTGGTATAATCTATGAAGAAGTATAACATCCATTAGTACATTTGCTGTATGATCTCAAAAAATACCTATTGACATGAAACTTAAACATCCTTAGCTGAATAGCCTTCTCAAATGGGTTAGCAGTTTTATCACATAGAAACAGATGAATTCGGAAGCCTTTAAAAGCATTCCTGAAGGTAAACTGCAATGTTTGTTTTAATTTTAGATAAGCATTAAAACTATAATAACTTCATTGTCATTTATCTGTAGCTACTGACTTGTAAAGGAGCCTTTGTAGAGGAGACATTTTAATTATCACTTATGCAATAATCCTTGCTGGGAGTCGACAGAAATGCTATTTAGCTGAAAGTTGGTATCACTGCAGCTTAATCACTCACAGATGTGTGCACTTTCACAAACATTTATTTCACCATATTGCAGTTTGATATTTTTGAGAAAATAAAAATTGCAATTAATATATTTTAAGCTTGGGCTGAGCATTTGTGAGGCACATTGCTCTGGCTTGTTAGACTAGTTTTTAGGAATATGAATAACAGTTTCAAAACCCTAACTTACTTAATAATTGCATGTTCTTTTTTGCCAGTGCAGGTGCTTGACTAAAGATTATGAAAAGCGTCCAACAGTGTCAGATCTTTTACAGCATAAATTTATTACTCAAATTGAGGGCAAAGATTCGATGTTACAAAAACAACTAATGGAATTTATTGGCATCCATCAATGCATGGGAGGCACAGAAAAGGCCAGGTAAACAAATAATATCTTGACTCCAAAATCCAGAGATTATTGAAATATTTTGAATAGTTTAACAATGCATTAGTTTTTAAGGTGAACAAAATTCGAAGTAATGGGGACTTACACGAAAAATGAATGTCACCTGTTGAATCGCATCTCAATATTGGTAAAATTACAGCCAGCACTTTTTTGTTTTGTTTTGTTTTGTTTCATTTGTTTGTTTGTTTGTTTGTTTTGAGATGGAGACTTGCTCTGTCACCCAGCTTGGAATGCAGTGGTGCAATCTCGGCTCACTGCAACCTCCGCCTCCCGGGTTAAAGTGATTCTCCTGCCTCAGTCTCCTGAGTAGCTGGGACTACGGGTGTGTGCCACCACACCCGACTAATTTTTTTTATTTTTTGTTGAGACGGGTTTTCATCGTGTTACCCAGGTTGATCTCTATCTCCTGACCTTGTGATCCACCCATCTCAGCCTCCCAAAGTGCTGGGATTATAGGTGTGACAAGCAGCACTTTTTAAACAACTTTGTAAGAACAAAGAATGTAAACTTCAAAAAATCATTTTTGTATTGGTATGTTTTCTTGTATTTTCTGCTTTCCTATAAAGTAAAATATCTTAGATTTGGGATTTAAAAAAGAACATAAAACTTGAAAGACCTTTTGATACTATTTGTTCATTTTCCTTGATTAAATTATATTTAAAGATCATTTTAAATATCTTTGTACTTCCTGTTGGGGTTTTAAATAGAATATAAGTTTATTTTATGAAATCTAAAAGTTACAGAGAAATATACAATGTAAAATTATCAATTATAACATTTTAATCTGTAACATTTTAATATCTTCTTGCTAGATACACTTTTTTTTTTTTTTTTTTTTTGAGACAGGGTCTCACTTTGTCACCCAGGCTAGAGTGCAGTGGCACCATCTCTGATCACTGTAGCCTCGATCTCCTGTGTTTAAATGATCCTCCTGCCTCAGCCGCCCAAGTAGCTGGGACTACAGGCATGCACCACCATGCCTGGCTAATTTTTGTATTTTTAATAGAGATGGGGTTCTGCTGTGTTGCCCAGGCTGGTCTTGAACTCCTGAGTTCAAGCGATCCGCCTGCCTCAGCCTCTCAGAAGGCTAGGATTACAGGCTTGAGTCACTGTCCAGCCAGACATTTTAAAACATTTTTAAAACAAAATAGGAATAGTATTTATATGTGTCCCAGAGACTATCTTCTTTCACTGACTAGTGAATATCCATATGATTAAACATTCTTCTAATATGAAATTTTAATGGCCAGATACCATTCTGTTGCCCAACAATTTAATGATTAATTTAAATAATTCCAGACATTTTGTTGGTTACTAATTGTTTTTACTCTCTCAAGTAACTGTGTAATGAAAAGAGTTGTACATTAATCTCTTACTGTTTTCTTAAGATAAATTCCTATCAATGGTACTATTAAGTCAAAAAATTATTAAAGTTAAATTTATAATTTAACTATTCTTGAGAATCCTATTTGTTTCATCCCAGGAGCATATCACTATTTAGGGAGTTGGAAGAAGTGAATAGGATATGACTTATTTAAATTTCTGTTGTGAGCATACACATTTAATTCCTATTTGTTTAATGCCTACTATGTGCCAGATTTTGTGTTAGGACTTTATTATGTTATCTCATGCGATTTTACAAGTCTGAGGAAAACATTTTATGATAACCAAGTGTCACAGCTGAAAAGAATTGAAGTTTGCAGAGGTTAATTAACTTGTCCAAGGCTGCACAGGTAATAAATAATTTAGCAAAGATTCAAATTCTGATCTTAAAGCCCAAGCTTTAATTCACAGGAGTAAATGGACTAATGATTGTGGATGATTTCGAAAGAAAATAATCCTTGTCTGAGTTTACAGCTTTGCTGCAGACACAGACCTTTAATAAGGAAGAATTAAATGGCAAAAAGAAAGAAATAAATATGTAGTTTATAATGAGGAGCTAATCATAGGTTGTCCATGCCCATCTTTTTATCTTTCTGTGAATGTTGTTTCATAATCTGCTGCAACCTCATTCTTCCCAAAACAAACAACAAATAATCAACAGAAATTGAGGTATATTCACATTGTGTAGAATGTTCAGTGTCAAGAACTGTGAAGGATCTGAGATATTACCCTACTTGCAAGCTAACAATTTGGCCTGCCACAGTTTCATGGATGCTGGCCAAAGACACGAGATTCATGGATGAGAGACAAAGGACTTTACTACTCAGAGCCAAGCTGACAGCATGAGTTTATGTTCTCATTGGCTGCACACTAGAGTCCTAGAGGAAATGTGGAATAGGCTTGCCTCATAACTGGGAAACCGTGAACTTGGGAAACTCTAATCTTTTAAAGGGGATTTTTGCATGCTTGCCCAAATTTTGCCTTGGAGGAAACATTATCTTTACCATCCTGGGCACCAGATAAAACTATCATCTGTCCTAGAGGGAGATAGTATTTTTAACTTCCAAGGCTGTTTGCTATACAAACGTTATTGAAAATATAGTCTGAAACAAAAGCTAATATAAGACATGCAGAAATTTGAGAGATTCATGAATAATTTGAGAGATTCATGAACACTGCCAGTGTTCAGGCATCATAAGAATGGTTAAACTACACAGTATTTAGATTCTAATGCTTGTGCTGTAAGTTTCAGTAATTTTTGGGCACAGTGTTATGCTCAACACTTTCTGATCCTGAGGCACAAGATGTAGTCTTGTTTATCCTGTTAAGAATTCAGAATATGCTTTCAATATAAGAATTTATGGCATACTCAGTTATGGAAAATTTTCAGTTGTTCTTTTACATATTGATCTTCTCATTCTTTTCACTTTTTACTTCTGAGACATAAATGTTGGAACCTCCTATTTTGCCTTATATGTCTTGCAATTTCTCTGTCATGTTTGTCACTCATTTATCAATCTCTGCCATATTCTGAATGAATTCTTCAATATTGTGTTACAATTCACTAATTTTCTCATAGAACTGGGCCTAGTCTAGATATCTTATATACCAATATTTTTTACGCTGATATCTATTACATATCAACATTTATATTTTTAATTTCTATAATTTCTTTCTTGGTGAGTGGTTTTTATGTTAACCACTCCTTTCATATCTGACTTTTTATATCTGGCTACTCATTTTTTCTTTTGGGAAGACTAATTTTTTTCTTTTTGGGGGAATGTAATTCTATTTTTTTCTCTTTGATCTTAAACATACTTTTTAACAGTAACTCTCAGATGTGCATTTCCACACAGGTGAATTGTCCTGATTATCAAGTTTGTTTATTTATTTAATATTTGGTTTCCTTCTAGTGTTCGGAATTTTAGTTTGCTTTCTCATCTTGAGTGGGACTTTTTTATTTTAATTTTTCTTTCCTTTTGCATTCTCTTCTATTCGGAAGGTTTTGCCTTTGCCATTACTTGGTTTCAAGATTCCAAGGAATCTTGAAGGAAATTGCAGGAAATTGCAGATCCCAAGATCTGCAATCTCGGAAAAGGCAAAACCCTCCAAATAGAAGAGACTGCAAAAGGAAAGAAAGTAATTTGAAGGAAACTGCAGGTCTAGTTGCTGAGGCTGTGGGAAGTAGACCCAGTGTCTCTCTATCCTGCTGTCTAAAGCACCTGGCTCCATATAAAAGGAAGAAGTGGCAGAGTTTTTTCCATCTTTTTCCCAGGCAAGGAACCCCTCACTCAGCCCAATTCTTCCCATCACACCTTGGTCAGGGTCTTCATTGTGAATGGGTGTTTTAGTTCCTTTACTCTTCAGGCCTCTTTTTCCCATTTTTGGTGCTAGACTTTCCCATTTTTGGTGCCCTCTTGCCTGGTGTTTATTTGCTCTGTTAGGTCCACTCTAATGTTCATCGTGTTTTAGACAATATCTTTGTCTTTTTAATTTGATTTTTTGTGTAAGACATTTTGTTTTTTACAAATGTATGTTTGGAAGAGGTGGGAGTTGAACTTGAATCTTTACCCACAACGCTCTCTTGACCATGGATCTTAGTCTCAGGTCTTAGGAGGAGGAAGGATTTTCCTGCTCTCAGCATTCATATTCACACTAGTCCCCAAGTGTGAGACATACTCAGGCAAAAAGAAAAGAGGCTTGGTTATGCCACTGGCAACACATTAAATAAAAGCTGTCTTCTTGAAGACCACGAAAAATAATTTGATTTGTCACTTTCTGATGTTGATAAAATTGATCCAAAAATCTGGTTGTATTAAATCAACATAGCTAACTCAAAGCTGACATTATTCTTTTTGTATATGATGTTATCCTTTAGAATTGTGCTTGGCGGGATAATTGTTTTTGTTGTTGTTGTTTGAGACGGAGTTTGGCTTTCGTTGCCCAAGCTGGTGTGCAATGGCATGAACTCGGCTCACTGCAACCTCCACCTCCCAGGTTCAAGTGATTCTCCTGCCTCAGCCCCCGAGTAGCTGTGATTACAGGCATGCACCATCATGCCCAGCTAATTCTGTATTTTCAGTAGAGGCAGGGTTTTACCATGTTAGTCAGGCTGCTCCCAAACTCCTGACCTTAGGTGATCCACCCGCCTCGACCTCCCAAAGTGCTGGGATTACAGGTGTGAGCCACTGTGCTGGGTACAGGATGATTTTTTAAAAATTAAAGATTCAGCTTTAAAGAAAATGGTCCTAATATAAATTGAATACAAACTGCATACTTTATAAACTTCCTTGTTGGAGGGAGGTGGAAGGTTGAGAGATACCGTGGAATGGATATGAGATCTTTCTATTTTAAACCAAGTCCTGAATATAAAACACATCACTTTTCTAACTTGTTCAACTATTCTGATTCTTCACAATAGTGCATAAGACAAATGTGCATAGCAACAGCTGCTTCTATGATACACTCTTCGAAAAATGGGAAGGCATTTTTCACACGAGTTAAAATTGACAATGTTAGAAGGCAGACTAAATTGGAAGAAACTCTAGTTATAAAATATTTTAAAAGAACATTTTTCTTATGAATCCAGT